AACCCAAGTACACATTGTTGTTGTGGTTTAGTTGTTGAGTCGTGTCCAACTCTTCGTGACCCATGGACCAGAGCATGCCAGGCCCTCCTGTCTTCCACTGCCTCCTGGAGTTGGGTCAAATTCATGGTCAAATTCCAGCTCTCACTTCCATACATCGCTACTGGACACATGACTGCCACCAATTCATAAAGGGACATGGCAATGTTATTCTCTGCGCCTGAAAAGGCTCTATAGGTTGTCATTGCAGGCAGCTGATTAGCAGCATCAAGTCAATTCAATCACTGGATGGGGTGCTGACCAGACCAGATGGGCGGGATATAAATCAAATAAATAAAATAAACTAGATGCGCAAAATCCACCATGGCTGCCGCAATAGTAATGTATGCAAAAACTGACGTATTTTAAGTGGGGGCTTTCAACGAACAAATTGTTATTTTAACTGTCTAAACTTCCTGTTGGAACAGAAGCCTGATTTTGAACTTCTGATAACTGTTCCTCCTGCAGAAAGGGAAAACATGCTTAGAAGCAAATATGCTCCAAAGATATTTATTCATGCCACACCACCTAGTGGCTGCAAAGAGAATATCACATAAAGATCAATTACAGCAGGCTTCCCAACCTTGTTTCCCCAGATGTGCTTGGACTACAACTCCCAGAAATCCTGCCCAGCACAGCTGATGGTGGAGGTTTCTGGGAGTTGTAGTCCAAACACATCCGGGGAACCAAGGTTGGGAACCACTGAATTAGACAGGGTGGTTGACAGTATTAAAGCAGAGGAAAGAAAAAATTGAGGACAAAATATTGTGGCACTTTTAAGACTGACAGTTTTATTTCAGGGTGAGCTTTTCTGACTTAAAGGTGGGATATAAATGATAAGCACCACGAGGATAAACAATTAACATGCACTTTTAATTTCATTTCTCCGCTGATTTTGTATAGGAACAAATCTTTGTGGTGTGGAATGCAACAACTTCAGACGTGGAACCTAAGTTTGCTGGCTCTGGCTATTATCCATCCTGGGTGAAGCTAGTAAGAAATGGAGCCTAACAACATCCAAAGAACCTTATATCTCCAGTTATATGTGTACATAAAAGGCCTTTTGAAATTCAAGACTTTGTTTGTGGAAAGATCATTAAATGGGAGGAGTGACAATTTCACCAACTATTTCCAGAGAATGAGAAATGTGCTGAGATGGTGAACAATATTATCAGTAGGTCTGTCAACACTTTATTACTTTCTTTTCTCCTAAAAAAAGAATTTTGGTTTTTCTGTACTGCCATTGCAACTGGCAATAGCAGTAACCGTGCTGGCAGCCAAGCCTACATTTTGTTTTCTTGTTAATGCTCTCTACTAGAGATGGGGATATTCGTATTTGTGAGAAATGTGCTGAGATGGTGAACAATATTATCAGTAGGTCTGTCAACACTTTATTACTTTCTTTTCTCCTAAAAAAAGAATTTTGGTTTTTCTGTACTGCCATTGCAACTGGCAATAGCAGTAACCGTGCTGGCAGCCAAGCCTACATTTTGTTTTCTTGTTAATGCTCTCTACTAGAGATGGGGATATTCGTATTTGTAAATAAGCTGTCGAGATGGGGATATTTGTATTTGTAAATAAGCTGGACCTAATGAGGGTCTTTCCCCCCACTCCCGGGACCGGACCATCTGTTCACACGACTCTGCTTCATGAAGATTATGCTCTTCCTGCCAATGGCGCCCAGCTGTCTTCTTGCTCAGGTGGCCACTCCAGACAGGGGGCGGGAGAACAAATCTCCCTGAATGGCTATTGAGTAGCCAACTGAGCAGGAGGACAGCGGATCTCCGGGCGCCATTGGCAGGGAAAGAGGGACCTTCACGGGACTGGGACCTGTGAGTGGATGGTCCAGTCCCAGGGGGCAGACCCTCATTAGGTCCAGCTGGGAGTCATCAGATTTTTTGATGACACAAAGCTGGGGGGAATTGCTAATAATTTGGAAGATAACATTCAGAAGGATCTAGACAGACTTGAACATTGGGCCCTATCCAATAAGATGCAGTTCAGTGGCAGGAAAAGTAAGGTCCTCCACTTAGGCAGGAGAAACCAGATGCACAGGGACAGGATAGGTGGTACCTGGCTTGACAGTAGTACCTGTGAGAAGGATTTAGGTGTCCTGGTGGACCACCGCCTAAGGATGAGTTAGCAGCGTGCTGCAGCTGCCAAAAAAGCCAACACAGTCCTGGGCTGCATCCAGAGGGGGATGGCATCAAGATGATGGGAAGTGATAGTACTAGTCTATACTGCACTGGTGAGGCCACATTTGGAGTGCTGTGTCCAGTTCTGGTCACTACAATATAAAAAAGATGCTGAGGCCCTGGAAGGAGTACAGAGAAGAGCAACAGAGGGGACAGGAGGCTAAATCCTATGAAGAATGACTAAAAGAACTAGGTATGTTTAGCTTACTGAAGAGAAGACTGAGAGGAGATAGGATAACAGTCTTCCAATATCTGAAGGGTTGCCACAGGGAAGAGGGCATCCATTTATTGTCCATTGTGCCTGAGGGTAGGACAAGAACCAATGGGTGGAAACTCGTCAGAGGGAGAACCAACCTGGAAATAAGGAGGGATTTCCTGATGGTGAGAATTATTAAGCAGTGGAATAGCTTGCCTTCTGATGTTGTGGGTGCCCCACTGCTGAAGGTTTTCAAGAAAAAAATTGACAGCCATCTGTCCGGGATGGTATGAGGTCTCCTGCCTTGGGCAAGGGGTTGGACTAGAAGACCTCTAAGGTCCCTCCCAACCCTACGACAATTCTACGATTGTATGAGGATATTCATATTCATATTAAAGGCTTTCATGGCCGGGATCAAATGGTTGTTGTGGGTTTTTTGGGCTCTTTGGCCGTGTTCTGAAGGTTGTTCTTCCTAACGTTTCGCCAGTCTCTGTGGCCCACATGTTCAGAGGACAGCACTCTGAAGCACTTCAGAGGACAGAGTGCTGTCCACTGAAGATGCCCTACTCTCTATCTAGTGCCATTTTATGGAACCTTAGTGGTGGCAGTTGCAGGCTGTAGATACACAATAATGACAATAATACATTTGAGAAATGGTAGAGACATTTTAGAAATAATTCTGCAAAATGGCATTGTATCACTGACGGGGGTAAGAAAAGAAAAATACAAAACTATCCCAATTCGCTTTTTGAGGAGGAGTTTGGACTGCAAGCATTAAAGGGGGCGCATTGGCAGCCTCTCTCTTGTTGCTCTGAAAATGGCTGTCTGAAGAGAGGGAGGCTGCTCTTTCTAGGTAGCTTCTGCATGTGAGCCAGAACCCCAATTCTAGTTGGAGAGGGTTGCCTCACATAGAAACACCACCCAGGTACAGTAACCTCCGTTTTTTCCCCCAGAGAAGCATGTTTCTGTGTTCAATGCAACAGCAGAGTTGGGCAGGACTAGCATACTTCCCTCAGTGCGTGTGGGCTCTACATACCCCTTGAGGACTGAACAGCATAAATACCCTTACCTCAGGGGGATTTCTGCTTGACCCTCTGGCCATTAACCTGTGGGGGGGTCCCTCAAGGTTCTGTTTTGTCTCCTGTGCTGTTTAACATCTACATGAAACCACTGGGAGAGGTTGCCTGGTGTTTTGGGGGTTCAGTGTCACCATTATGTGGGTGACACCCAGTTATGTCTCTTCTTTCCATTTAAATCCAAAGAATTTGTTTTGGCTCTAGATCAGTGCTAAGTGTCGTTTTGGGGTTCAGTGTCACCATTATGTGGATAACACCCAGTTCTGTCACTTCTTTCCATTTAAATCCAAAGAAGTTGTTTTGGCTCTAGATCAGTGCTAAGTGTCAGCATATATACATTTTAAATGTGGTGATCTGTTGTGGAACAACCCCGCTGATGAAGAGAACAGTGGTTATCCACACCATGTTGCTAGTTGCAAAGGGGCCCTCCAAAAGTGTTCAAGCTTCAGGGCCCCAAAAATGTAGGTCTGCCACTGCTTGTCCTGGATCTGTCTGGACATGAGATTTTTCCAGAACAGTAATAACAGTGGTTATTCATATCATGTTGCTAGTTGTAAAGGGGCCCTCCAAAGTGTTCAAGCTTCAGGGCCCCAAAAATGTAGGTCTGCCACTGCTTGTCCTGGATCTGTCTGGACATGAGATTTTCCAGAAAGACCCTGCCGAGAGTTCCACTACCTGTGCAGAACTGTTTGACAGGCATGCTAATTGCACGGCTTACCTGAGGCCTAGTACCTGACTCTCCCAGGTCCCTGCCCACTACACAACACTGGGTTCCCATGGTGCTGCTGTTAAAAAGTTTGGGAAGTGATTGTTTGCAGCTCACACCTGAGAAGATGCATATTTTTACATAAGAAAGAGGAAAGAGAGAGGGCCCTTTGACAATGTCTTTATCTGCCCTTCACCTGCTCCGACCTACATTGACCTTTCCCTTCAATGGTTGTTGTGGGTTTTTCGGGCTTCTTGGCCGTGTTCTGAAGGTTGTTCTTCCCAACGTTTCGCCAGTCTCTGTGGCCATGGGCATCTTCAGAGGACAGCACTTTGTGCTCTGATGTAGTTGGTTTGGCTTCCCCTTCAACCTTAGATTGCTAGTCTTAGAGTTGCCTATTGTTGCGTCCTCCTGAAAAGGACAACCATATAACCTCCAGCTAGTTTAGATTTCTATCACTCTTCCTGTTACAAGTGCACTTCCCTAATAAATGTAAGGTTTCTTATGCCCTTGGGAAAGAAATGTGGAAGTGATTCTTTTACACGAAGCCCGGGAGGAAGTGTCTTCTTCCCGAGTTTCAGAGGGCTGAACCCAGAAATTAATAATGCTCCTGTACGCTGCCTAGCCCCCCCCTCCCACAAAAGCGCCTCCCCTCAAAAAAAAAAGGCGAAGAACGTTGTTTTTTTAAAGGGGAGGGGAGGAAACCTTGGCTTTTCTGAAGCAACCTGTAGTGGTTGCAATGTGACCCAGCAGCCAGCAGATGGCAGGAGACCTCCTGCGCCCTTCCCATTCAGCGCCATGGGAAAAGCAGGGCAAGGCAAAGGGGCCGCACGAGGGCTGATGGGAAAGTGGCGGTGTCAGAGCCAGGAAGGGTGGTGCCTTTCCCCAAGCAGGAAGAAACAAGCGGGTTAGGTTGGGGAATTTCAGCTGCTTCCATCATCCGCGGGGGTGAGTATTGAGGAGGGGCAGATTGCAGATAAAATCATGCGGGGCGGGGGAGGCGGGCACGGTTTGCAAGGTTGCACCGTCCGTGTCCCACGTGGAGAAAAAGGTAGCAACAACATATTAAAAATGTCTCTTTTTTAATATATATATAATTAAAAAGGAGACCTTTTAGGAACATACATAGAAGCAGCGTCGCCAATCCGTTAATCGTAATAAAGAAATCTAAATCTGTAATATCCCTCTTTCTCTTGGCTTTGTTTTCCTTTTTAAGAACCCAGGCGTCCTGATTTTGCAGGTTTTCTTCTATTCTCTTGTGAATGAGCTGGTTATTGTATTAACACGCTAATCTTCGTGGCTTAACCAAAGTGTGTGTGTCTGTCGCTTAGCACAACGGACTGTCTCTGAATCCACTGAACTGCCCAACAATTAAGATAATTACAGGTTTTCAGAGAAAGAGCGACGCACCTTTGCCTGGGAATTGGGGGGAAATAAATAATGTTCCTGGGGGAGTGATTTGTGCACCACAGCCTGTGGCCATCAGCCTTTATCCGCATAAAGTGTTGTTTGTGAAGCATGGGCTTCAAAGAAGGCCTGAGCTCAGGAAATGGGGACTTAATTTGTTTACTACATGTTTACATTGGTTTTGTGCTCTATATTTATTACATTTCCGCCTTTCCTGCAAGGATTTCAAGGTGGCAGATCTGACTCTCCTTTGTCTCCACTTTATTCTCACGACAGTCCTGTGAGGTGGGACGGCAGAAAGTCTGTGTCGCCACTCGCTCAGGGGATCTTTGTGGCTGTCTGGGCATCCAAATCACCGTTTCCGATGGACCCCGAAATCTGCTATCCTCTCAAAACCCATACCAAAGTTTTCCAATGCTTGGGTTGATACATCGCCCCACCCCATCCCCGTAACGGACGGATGAGCTCCACGTTTCTGAGTTGTTCTCTTTCAGGTTGTTTTCCGCTGTTCGGATCAAAAGCTATGCCCAAGGTCTTGTAATTGATCCGCAGCGTTTTCAAATCCGGTCCGTTGGAGCTTCTCCCTGTCAATTTTCCTTTCCAACTAACCACAGACAGAACAAATTTCAAAAAAATAAAGCCAGGAATTCTTAACTCATTAACACATGTCGTTGCTGCTGTAGCTTCCTGTAGCCACTAATCACTGTGGCTGTTTACAGGACCGAGCATCAAAAGAAAAGAACTGGATACCAAATAGGGGTCCTAAATCATTGCTAGATGTGAAATGCGACTTGAGTCTGTCAACGTATCTTGGAATCTGTATGAACGACATGTCATCTCTGTATTCTCATTTATGTCTGAAGAAGTGGACGTCTTCCATGAAAACTCACATTAAAATATAGCAGTTAGACTTTACAGCAATACAACAGGTTTGTTGTTGTTACTGTGTTTGTTTAGTGTTTTATGTTAAAATCCCTCCAGCAGTGTAACTGCCTTTATAGGTTAGAACCTATAAAGCCCTAAATGGCTTGGGCCCTTGTTAAAATCCCTCTAGCAGTGAGCCTGTAACAAATATAGAGCACAAATCCCATTATGAGCCAGAGTGGGTGTTAAGATCATCAGGAGAGGCCTTTCTCTCAGTCCCGCCACCCTCACAGGTGTGTTTGCTGAGGACACGGGAGAGGGCCTTCTCTGTCGCTGCTCCCAGACTTTGGAACTCCCTCCCACAGGAGGCCAAACTGGCCCCAACTTTGCTGTCCTTCTGCAGGCAGGCCAAGACCTTTCTCTTCAGGCAGGCTTTTCCTCGGTGGCAGGGCTGTCTGAGCGTGATCTTTGCATTACGCATTACTGCTTTGACTCTGTTTTAAGTGTTGCTTGTTGTGGCGGAACCCCCATGTCACACCTGTCCCTGAGCATGATCTTTGTCGATAGATTGTTACACATTACTGCTTTGACTATGTTTTAGTGTTGCTTGTTGTGGCGGAACCCGCACGTCACACCTGTCCATCATGGGGAGCTCAAGGGCAGGAGCCTATGAGAGGACAGGAGGGGCGGAACCAGAAGAACAGTTAGACAGTTAGTTAGACAGTTAGAGAAGAGGAGTTGGAGAAAAAAGGTGAGAGACAGGGAATTGAAGAGAGAGAGTTAGGAGAGTGAATTGAGAAAGCCGCCCAGAGTCGTCAGTTGACTAAATGGGAGGGTATAAATTAAATAAATAAATAAATAAAGTTAAGAAAGAGTGTAATTAAAGTGATTAAAAACACACACAAACCAACGTGAAATCAAAGGATATTTAATGAATAATCCTAAACATCTGTGATTTGCCTGACATCTATAATATCAATAAATCTGTTGTATATTGGCAGCACGTGTCTAAGATCTATCTATTGGTATTGAGGGAATAATACCTGGTGGCAGCGTGAAGTGAGGAGACGCATCTAGAGAGTGGACTTGTGTTTAGGGAAAATAAACAAAGGAGACTGGCTGGACGCGACACTTGCGTTTACTCTTTCTGAGTAGTAAATTTGTTTGTTCCTTTAAAATATTTCTATACTTATTGTCTTCAGCTATAAATATTGTCTTTCAGTGGAGTAAGCTACCTTGGGTTCTTTTGAAGGAGAAAGGTGGGGCCAGAATATTTTAAATAAATAAATATTAGCGGCCTACTTTTTAACAAATTAAAAAAGGAAAGAAAATTATAATGTTCTCTCAAAACCTGCACCAACGTTTTGTTGATATTCTGCAGGGTTTTGGAGCACAGGCCCTGCATTTTTGCAACACCTCCCCAAATCTGTGTAAAGAGACCTGACAGTACCTCAGGAAAAAAACATTGAAACAAAACATGGTTTAAGAAATCCTGGACAAGATGGGTTTTTATGTGATCTAGCCAAGTAGTCCATTGATGTGAGACAGGCCCCATCTTGGCTGTCCTTCCGCAAGCAGCCAAAGATGTTTCTCTTCAGGCAGGCTATCCCTTAGTGATTGGTTGTCTGAGTGGGGTTTTTTAATCAAGTATTGTGCCTTGTGGCTTTGAGTCTGTTTTTGGTGTTCATTTTGTTTAACGTTTTTAGTTTGTTTGATTCTTTTTAAATATTTGTATACTTACTCTCTTTAGCTTTTACGTATTGTCTTTTAACGATGTAAGTAGAGAAAGGAGAAAGCCGGGATTAAAAATATTTTAAATAAATGAATAAATTTATAGTCAATCTAGTCTTCTGTTGACTGGATGGGGAGCTTTCATAGTCCTGGCAAAAGATGACCAAGACTGGGACATCCTAGCTGTATCACATGAGGTCTCTCCCAATATGCTTTGATGCATCTCCATGCTTTGCATGCTGGGCTCAATACTTAAATATATATTTGTTGCATTTCTATTCCACCTTCCTGCTGACAAGCTCAGGGGCAGTACACATGGGTCTCCTCCTCACAACAAGTCTGTGAAGCAGGTGATGCTCAGAGATGGCGATTAATCCAAGTTTGTCCAGTGAATTTCATAAGTCAAGTGAGGATTTGAATTTTCCTAGGGCCTAGGCCAGTGTTCTAACCTAGTGGTTCTTAATCTTTGTTACTCGGATGCTTTCGAACTGCAACTCCCAGAAATCCCAGTCAGGACAGCTGGTGGTGAAGGCTTCTGGGAGTTGCAGTCCAAAACTCCTGAGTAACCCAAGGTTAAGAACCAGTGTGCTGTACACTAGCTGTAGAGGTGAGCTGGGTTTAAAATAAATTGGGCGTATTTTAAAATAGAGGTGGGGAATATCTGGACTTCTAGATCAGTGGTTTCCAATCTTGGGTAACCCAGGTGTTCTTGGACTGCAGCTCCTAGAAGCTTTAACTATTAGCTGTGCTGACTGAGGTTTCTGGGAGTCGTAGTCCTGAGCTTGGGAACCACAGCTCTCAATAGCAATCTATAACTCTCGTGATCCTTCACCATTTGCTGTGGGAATCGTAGCCCAAATAATTTGTAGGGCCACAACCAGTGTTACCTCTAAGGTGTGCATGGGCGCACAGATCTCGGTGCCATGGCAGTCAGAGTCAGTGCCTGTTTCCTTCCGAGTTTTGGATGAAACCCTGCTTCCCCCTGTGCAGCAGGGGGAAGAAAATTAGAAGGAATGTTGGCTGCAACTGCTGATGCCTGTTTTAAAAGTAAATATTTGACTCCATTTTTGCTTCCTGCTGGTTGAACATTCAAAATTATTATTTGGCCTCTGTTGAATTCTAGATCTGTTGTGGTTTCAGTTAGAATAGTGAAGAGGTGTGTTAAATTACTGATGCAGTGTTAATTGGGGGGCTGTAAGAACAACAGAATGATCCGTTTGTCCTGTTCTTTTTCAGACTCTCGGGTAACAAGATGTTCTTTACCTGTGGCCCTAATGAGGCCATGGTTGTCTCAGGTAAGTGTCCCATGCTGTCCTTCTCCTGCTTACTAAATCAGTGATGACAAGTGGAACCTGCAACTAAAGGTTGCAGTGTGAAATCAGAGAAGCACCAGCTGAAGACCTTTTGGCAAGCTTTACGGTGTAGATTTTAGAGGACATGTCTCCTTCCTGGTAGAGCTTTTGTCTCTATGCTTGGCTGAGAGAAGATCTGAAATCCTACCGCGACTGAGGTTCTTTCTCTCCCTTGAATTACGATCAAAGCATATTTTAATTTCTTTTTGGACTTCTGATGAGCTGCCTTGGTGGTGGACACACTGAGGGTGGCGCATTAAATACAATAAAATATTGTACCAGGAGGATTAAAGGGCGAGGCCTTGTTCTCAACCCGAAAAGATGTTCCTTGAGAGATGGAGCCACCCAATATTGTTCCCTGGTGCAGTGCTTTCAACCTCTGGTCCTCCAAATTTTTGGACTTCGACTCCCAGAATCCCTGACCCTTTGTCTAAGGACTTCTGGGAGTTGAAGTCCAGGTTATTTGCAGCACCAAAGTTGTGAACTGCTGCCCTCTTATGAGCCTGTTAGGAGCCACAATGTCCTCTTGTTTTGTATTTGATCATGGTTGTAGAGTAAAGATTTGTTACAGGGGTTCCATCAGCTTATATTAAGGGGTCACTGTCTTTCCAGAAGGCCTGTCGGTCTCCCACAGCATTCCTTTGTCACAGTGTGACAACTCCAGCGGTCCTTCCAAACCCCTATTTTTCCTCCATTTGCCTCTTCCATTAAGTTTAGGAAACTAGATTTCCTGGTTAATCTCATTTGCCTCCCTACTCCCAGTCCGGGCATTTGCGAGGGATCTGTTTACTTCAGAGAGCTCTACCTCCTCAGTTAATAACATCTTTTCCTCTCAGGTTTCTGCCGCAGCCCCCCTGTCATGATAGCTGGTGGCCGGGTATTTGTGTTGCCATGTATTCAACAGATCCAGAGGTGAGTCCTTCTGTGACTGCCCTGTTAGGAGGCAGAGAGAGGCCTTGCCAAGGCAGCTGTTTTTGAGAGACAGAAATCCTAACGTTATTTCATCTGTCATACGCTGTGTTGTGGGTGGATAAATAGTTATAGTTGAGCTCTCCCGCTCTGTGAAGGAGGAGTATTATATATTACAGATGAAACAAATACTCTCTAAAATTCTTATTCTGATCATATTCAGGCCTTCTCCTTAACAAGAAAATCTTCATTTTTATGAGATTTCCCAGCTGGAACGCTAGTCTGAGAGGACCTGGCTGTGTTCCCAATTGGCACTGATTTTCTGCACAAGAAAGCCATGCGTCGCTTCTTGCCCAGTTACCTCTGCAGTACTTAGGGGTGTAACTCCTTCGATTGTGAAGACATGGCCACGTATAGCAGGATTTGCTCCAGTCATTAAATGGGTGATTTCAAAATATATTTTAGTGTTTGCATGACGTACAAGGCTGATCTGACTTGTTTCAGCCTATTTAATGCTAAAGCGCCTTTTTTCTCTGCCCATGGAGGGCTTCAGTTTTTTCCTGGGCAGGAGGGTTCAATCGTGAGGGTTTTTTTTCCTCCTGTAGATGTTTCTGCAAAGACAGTGGCATGTATTTAGGTGGGGCATCCCACTTTAAGAGAAAACAGTTGTGACTTTGAAATGCATGGGTGTGCAGGTATACACATACATATTGCAGGCCCACCACCACAAGCCCTTTGTACCTTTTGCAGAAATTGAAATGGAAAATGAGAGTCAAGGCATTCAGTCAACAAACAGGGAGAAAGAATGGGGAATCCCAATGTATGTATGTATGTACGTGTAGGCATATACCCATATACACATGCATACACATTTTGAAGTCCTGACTGTTTTTCCTTGTGGGACATTTTCTAACATTATTTGAAATGTATGCCCGCACACACAACACATTGGGATTCCCCACCATTACCAATAATTCAGGCACGAGGACAGGTCAATAACAGGATCATAACTACTTCCCTTCACTTTCTTGTCTCTAGTTTTCTCACACAAAACCATAAACGGATTGCAGAGGCAGGACCAGAGGGAGGGAGGAAGGAAGGAAGGAAGGGGACTGTGGGCTAGAATGCAAATTTAAACAGTGAATTCCTGAATCAATCTGCAGACCCTTTTTTTGTGATTGTGATTTCAAACATAATACAGGCTGCTAATCAAATAATAGAAAAACCATATCCTCCTGATTGGGCTTTCTAATGATTGTGATTTTAGACATAATACAGGCTATGAATCAAATTGGTTGTTGTGGGTTTTTCTGGCTCTTTGGCTGTGTTCTGAAGGTTGTTCTTCCTAACGTTTCGCCAGTCTCTGGCCAGCATCTTCAGAGGACAGCAAATTGCAGCAAAGCTCATACGTTCCAATTCTGCTCTCCAATGTAGTCACAGCTTTAGAGATGGAAATCCTTGCTTTCCACCTCTGGGAAAGAATTTTCTTTTGGTCTTGTCAGAGGGGACATACTTTCTAGTGACACTGAACCCATTCCCCCCCACCCACAAACAGTTGCTCAAATGATTACAATCTGTGGAAATTACGGAAAATTACAGTGGTGCCTCGCATAGTGAGGTTAATCCGTTCCGGATTAACTTTCGCTATGCTGAAGCATCGTTGAACGGATCAAAAAAACCCATCCCTTGGAACGATGTTTAATGCGTTCCAAATGGGCCAAATGGGCCAAATGGGCCAAATACTCACCGAAAACGCTGCGCGCGGCCATTTTGGCCCATTTCTGTGCTTCCGGCGGCCATTTTGGCCGCCGAACAGCTGATCGTCAGGCTTCGTTTTGCGAAGATCGGTGAGCGAAACGCTTACCGGTCTTCGCAAAGCGAATTTAGCCCTATACAAAAAACGTTAAGCGATCGCATTAGCGATCCGAAAAAACGGATCGCTATGCGATTTCATCATTATGCGGTGCGCTCGTTAAGCGAGGCACCACTGTACTCATGTTGCCTTGCATTTAAAAATCTGATGAGCTGTCCAGCTCCTTTTAATTATCAGCCAGTCCTTCTGAGTCCGCTGTGTGTGAGCTGCTTTTCAAAAGCAGAGGACATCAGATTTATGCAGATAGCAACTAGACAGAATGCATAACTTGCATAATCTTGTAATTTAGCTGAAACTACCATTGCTGCTGCCTTGTTAAATTGACTTTTCAGAAGCATGAAATGAGGTGTTTGTGTCTTCAGTGGTCAGACAACCAGTCTACGAGGGGGTGCTGATAAATACTGAGCCTTTCCCAGAAAAACATGAGCTGGGAAGCTGTAACTGCCACACTATTCTACATATTCCCCCAGGAAATCAATGCACTTGTGACATCTGTCCTGCAGCTTTTTAAGTCCCTGCAAATTAAATTCTTCTAACTGCTCGTGTAACCACTCATTTGCAACATTAATTGCCTGCAGAACACCCCCAAATTGTCCCTTTAGGTGTTCTTTGAGCTTGGGGAACAGATAATAGTCAGAAGGAGCCAGGTCAGGAGAATAGGGTTGATGGGGCATCACTTGAAAGCCTAAGGAGGTCAGTTTTGCCATTGTTTCACCTGCAGTGTGTGACGAGACATTGTCATGCAACAGGATGATACCTTTGGAGAGCTTTCCTTGACGTTTTGCCTCAACTTCGTCAATAAAGCACAGTAATATTTTGCATTGATGGTTGAACCCTGTTGGAGGTAGTCCAGCAGCAGAACTCCCTTCTTATCCCAAAAAACTGTTGCCATTTGATTCTGCACCGACCTTTGCACTCGTAACTTCTTTAACCTGGGGGAACCACTGTGCCTCAATTCCTTAGACTGTTCCTTTGTCTCAGGATCATAACAGTAGATCCATGTCTCATCACCAGTTACCAGTTTGCCCAGGAAATCTGACTCATTTCTTGCAAAACATTCCAAAACAGCCACCAATGACGCCACACGTTTCCTCTTTTGTTTGGTTGTCAAAAGTTTGGGGATCCACTTTGCTGCCAGCTTTCTCATTTCCAAGTTATTGTGGAGAATGGCACCAACTCTCTCACGTGATATTCTCAGATATATAGCAATACTTTTGGCTGATATTCGGCAGTCCTCCATGATCATGTCATGGATGGCTTTCACATTTGCAGGCAGAGAGACAGAAGCAGGCCTTCCACTGAGTTTCTCACCTTCAACACCGAAATGGCCAGTTTAAAAATTGACAACCCAACGTTTAACTGTTGCATGTGAAGGGCCACTGTCACCCACAGTTTGTGACATTTCATCATGGATCTGCTTTGCACCTTTCCCTTGGAGAAACAGGTACTTGATTATGGTCCTTTGCGCTTCCATGTTGAACTTTTCTGGAGGTGCCGCCATGTTCACTTTGGACTGGAAAATGAAAGTTAAGTTAAAATCATAGGTAGTTGATTTTTGCACCATTGAATATAGACAAATTGGCCAATACACCCTGCAATTTATAGCTTCCTAGCTCATTTTTTTCCTGGCTAAGGTTCAATACTTATCAGCACCCCCTTGTGTGTTATGCTTGTGTGCTTTGCTCTTGGGGGGAAAGGACACAAGACACTATATTTACAATCTGATGCATAGATGTTGTGCCTAAATGGCCAAAATCTTGACAAAGAAACAGTCCTTGCCTCCACCTTGCTCTGGAGGGCAACGAGTTCAGTTAGTACATGCAAGAAATGAGCAAAATTTAGGCAACTTTCTACCAGTAATTTTTTTCCTAAGAAAATTCCCTGCAGAGAGATCACATGGTGTGTGTGGGGGGGAAACAGTTCCTCCCCCCTCATTTGCCTACTAAGAATGAGTCACGGTGAGGTCTCCTTCCTTATTGTATATTAGTTGATGGGAGCACAAGATAGAGGGATGCTATTGGAGTTAGATCCTGTTTGTTTGGTTTCTGCAGACATCTGTTTGGCCACTGTGAGAAATCAGAATGTTGGACTATATATGTCTTATGTTTGACTCAGTGTTAGCTCTTCTTTCTTTTTCATGACTACAATTCCTATGATCTTGCACCATTAGCTGAGACAAGAAAGAATAGCTAAAACAGGACTATTCTATAGCCATATGGGCACACACCATGTGTGTCCCATTTGCCTCCCAAGTTTGCAGGGCGAGAGAGAGAGTCCATAGCTTTCTGTTCCTGGCTGCTCACTGCAACACTTTGAATGGGATACAAAAGTCGCCATGCTGGCCATAAGAACATTTCCAACGTGGACCGGGTAGGTGGGGCTCGTCAGCCTTGGAAGGCAGCCCATCTAGGACAAGGGAAACTCCACTGTTTTCAAACCTCCACTGCCTTGTGGCTATATCC